ATTTTTAAATTAAGAAATTGAGTAATGTGTAGCACTAAAATTTGATACCAAACTTATTGCCATAAATTCATGAAATAGTAGTTCAATAAAATTGATTGCGAGTCAACAAACGAGATGACATGGCCTTTCACCTGTGACCTGTCATGAAAGGGTTAAAGCAATGAACTTATACTTTCACCAAAAAATGTATATATATATAGCTCAACATTTTTATTTCATTTCTTCTTTAGTTGGCATATACAGTCAAGTTAACACATGCCCTAGAGAGGTTTTGGAACAAATCAGGACCAAAAATTACTTTTATTGAGTATTGATAGTAATCTTCAAATGAATATATTATTTGTTTTCGATAGTAATCAAAATTTACTCAACAAAAATATAAAACTTAAAGTATTCGTTGTTCTCAATAAAAAAAAAAAACTACTGTTAAAATTACCTTTAAAACTGTTATTCTCACTTCATAGGACCAGGCTTTGCTCAACTATGTTATACAGTGTCTGAACACAAACCAAGATATCCAGTCTCATGAAGATTTGGATGGTGAAGCTTTCTACCGGTTGGTAGCTATAGCTCGTGGTGTTGCCGTATCTCGTCCTTCAAACTTGGTTCAATTCGCCGAAAATCATGAACGAACATTAACAGCTGATTCTTCTGATACAGGTTGTTATGTCTTTAGTAACTAGTTAATGTGATTAATTATAGAATATAATTGTTTACGTTAGTTCCTTTTTTACAAAAGTATTCATTTGTCATTCTGATGCATCCCATTTTATAATGCTATTTATTTGCAATTTGTATCCAGGCTGTAAACCAAGTTTTTAGTTTTTGCTAATAGGGTATTTTACTTTCCTTAAATATTTTATGTTTATTTCCATTTTTCTTTGCTTGAACATTTTATATATCATAATCTTGAACTTCCTTCTATTTCATCATTCAGATTTATTTTAGAGAGTAATTTGAATATTACATGGTATTATTTAAAATGCTTTAGACGTTTTTATATGAGCATTATACAACATGTACTGTTTTAATGACAAATACACTTCTCAAACCATTAAGTAGAAACACTTGTATTTTGTAAGAATACTTAACATTTCTAAAAAAAAGTAAATTTATGTCTTGCCTGACCAAAAAATATTAACCCCTGTTCTAATAACATGTTGGCCCAATGAATTAATTTTGGCATCGATATTACTGGTTTCTGGAATTATGTCAATTTTCACCCATTCCAGAAACATTATTGTCCTAGGGTTGCATATGTACTCTTCTGACAGCATGGTGTCATTGTCACCTTGATGATACAAAATGAGGGTGCACATAATTGATCCCTTGAGGATGTTGGAATATTCACAGGATTTAATGAGAGATCCATTCTATATAATGAAAATGCACCCCACATCATTACTTCATCCTCAGCAATTTGCACAGTAAAAACAAAACACTAGAGTTCCAAAGTTTTATAGCTTTGTTGCTAAATTTTGAGCAATTTTTTTTTTTCCTTTGCCTCAAAGTAGGTGTATTTTTCTGTTGCCATCCAAAACTAATTGTTTTTTTTTAGATGAGACAAAATTCATTTCTCACAGGTCTCTGTGCACTATTCTTGTTGAAATGAATGGCCCTGGCACATTGTTAACACCATCTGTCAATTGTTAACTGCCATTTATCCCAGTCTCAGAGCTGTTTCTTCTGTCCACGACTTTCACCTGTTGGTTGTTTACATTTCTTTCACACCATTTTGACTTTTTAGATGATTGGCTGTAATTTCCCAGTTGTTTGCATTGCTTTTACTGTTGAGGCTTCAGCTAATTGAGCCTCAGCAATAACTAATTTTTTGAAAATTGAGGCTCACAAAAAGGCTTACATTATTTATATTTGTAAAACAGTCAAATTCTGTTACATGTTTACTCTTCAGATAATGGAAGTCTTGAAAAAAAATTTTGGTTTCTAAAACTGTGGCTAAGCAGTGTGTGTGTGTGTGTGAAGATTGTTTCCTTAAACTGTATTATCAAAATATGTGTTTGGAGGATAAGGAGTTGTTAATTTCTAAAGAATGTTTTCTTGGATCTTTATTACTTCGAATATGGACTTTTTATACATTACATTTTTGGTGGCTTTTTAGCTGAAGATATATTTGTTGATACATTGGTAGTTCTAGTTTTGGATTGGATTAGGTTTTTGCACAACCAGTTTTCCATCATTTGTCCTTGATATATAAATATATATGTAGAAGAGATGTAATTTGGCAGTACATTCTCAATAGCATTGAATAAGTGTTATGCATTATTCAAAGAGATAAGTTTGTTTTCATTTTGGTGACTACTTTATGCATTTAAAACCTCCATCTATTTAATATTTTGGGCACTGCTAAGAGTGATGATACTAAACACTTTTAATATCAGAAAGTGTTTTAACACTTAACTTCACTTTTGCAAAGCTCAAGTACATTTGAAAACTATGTGATTGAACAGAAAACAGCATTATTACTACAAGACCAAGATCATTCTAAGTAATCCCTCGTGAAACTGATCATTTACTTGAACTTTTTTCACATGTCTTACTGAAATTATTTCATTCAGTCATTTCTAATAGTTAGATATTAATTATTATTAATTCCAGTTGAAGTTTCAGACTTGGAAGCAGCAGATCATCTCACACCACTACCAACTTCACCTAAACCCCAAAACAACAATCCAGATCACGGTGAAAGCCCAGGGAGACGGAGTCCCCGTCAGTCAAGTGCTGTGGATCCTAACCATTTCCTAATCCAACTGACAGACTCTTTCTGGAGGCTTCATGCCCAGAGACCAAAAAACCATGCTATTGCTCCTGTTTCACGTCATGGATTGGTGCACATTGATGCAACGGTACTATTAGATAATTTTTAGCCTTAATTCTAGAGTATTTTATGTTTTTAAATAAGAATTACTGCAACTGAATTTTGAAAAGACAGTTCTTGAAGTGGGATAGGATGCCATTCCACTTCTTTCTTTAGAAGGGCTCAGAACTATCCCACTTGATTTAATTGACAATGCAATAAATATTTAGTATGGGAAGGGACTGGGGAGAGAAACTTTTTTTCCCTTAAAATTTTGTGTAAGAGCAAAGCAGGAATGAGACAAAGTAGTACACGGATGGAGCAAATGAATCCTCTCACTACAGGTTTCATCAGCATGACTGAGTTCGTAACCAAAAAGTAACTGTCAGAGTTTTCTATACTAAAGCTTTTAATGTTATCCATCTATTTATACTGAATTTATTGTTTTATTACCCTTTGAACCATGTTGTAACTAATAATCCTGCCACACAAGTTGCAAATCACTTGATGAACATGTAGTTCACTTTATTGTATTGAATTGTGTAACGTACAGCTGCTTTGCAAGTATCGTTCGTGAATAATTTTTATTGTTGTACCTGCTCTAACTGTATCTAACCTAATAAGTTAGAATTTTTTTTACATGTATAATGGGGGGAATGCATTCCTGAAAATTTTCAGTCCACTCTTGAATAATTGTTTTTAAAGGGTGTCACATGGCTTTTTAACCACATTGTACTATGCAAAACATGCATGTAAGAACATTAAAGGACTAAACATTGATTATATTTAATACTTAGAAGTACTGTAGTGGTTGTAATTGGTGAATGCTATGCCTGGTAAATTAGTGCAACAATGTTTTAATTAACTCTCTACACAGGATTGGTCAAATTGACCGACCACGTGATATCTTTCTCGTGGGAACGAAGCTTGTAACAAAGCAAAATTAAAGGCTAACAGAATTATTCTTTGTTAGAGCATTGATGATATTATAGTGAGTAATTTACATTAAACTTTGCACTTATTAGAGGGCTGGTAAATAAATTAAAGAAGAGGGAATGCATTGATAAAAAATGACACATTTCTCACACTAGGGGAATTTCAGGATTTTTTTTAATATTGCCTTATAAAATTAAGAACTTAAAACTAGTATACCATTAAAATATGGATTATTAGCTATATTGGAACACTCTAGTAATGAAACAAAGCAGTGTTGTTTTGATACATGGGTTGTAATTGGGGAACACTAATAATGAAACTATGCAGAATGTTGCAATGTATAATGAGGACCCACAATATTTTAATACTTCAAACTTATTAATCTAAATTAGGTTTGTATTACGTAGAGGCTGTGATAATGTTCCATTTTGCTTTTATTTTTTGAAGTCTTTATAAACTAGTAGAAAATTTTAACTTACTGCTGTAGCCTGAAATATTGTTTTTATTTGTCTTTAAGTGTAGTTAACTAATATTACAATTTAAAGTTACTGTAACATCTTACAACAGCACATTAATGAAAAGGTTATTGCTTTTATCATTTCTTTATTGTGATTAAAGTTTTTTTATTTTTTTACAGTAGTATGCCTAATTTGTATGAAAAGGTTTTTTGTGTTGATGTAAAAGTATGTTTAACACTTAAATTTTTTTATTTTATTTTGTAGGTCCAAGCTCTTGTAGAAGTCATTCATGCTTTTACTTCATGTGATCTTGAAAATGTACCTCTTGCTGCTAAACTTTATGTTCGTCTTCTTCTCTCTGATGACACTGCCATCAGCTTTGCTGCCAAGGATGCACTTGTTCGATTACTGAGACCAAGACTCCGTCGAAGAAAGGTTTTCATTCCATCACCCCCGCATTGTAGCACACCAGGTAAAGGTGATCCAAGAAAATTTTAACAACTTTTCTTTGATTAATTTGATTCTGAAAAAAAAAAAACAAATGTAGAGTTTCATTTGTATTGTGTGTGTGTGTTGTTTTTTTTTTCCCAATTAGTTTTGATTGTTTCTGCTATATTAAAATTTATAATGTTTAGGAGAGACCCAAGATACTGAAACCACAGATTCAAGAACATTGAGTCAAGCTCAAGCTACTGTTCAAGCTGCCCCCCAGGTTCAGCGGGCTGTTCAGACACAATCTCAGAACCAGGTTTCCCAAGAAGAGCAACAAGATTTTGAAATGGTTGAGGGTTTAGAGCCAGTTGTTCTACTTCCAGGAGAAAATGAATCTGTAGGAGCCAATTTGGAAGCTTTGATAGCAGGCCAGGCCAGTTTCCCTCCACTGCTGGACATTCCTCCTGATGCTGATGATGAAACTATGGTTGAACTAGCAATAGCTCTCAGCCTTCAGGTAAGGTTAATAAAACTTGCAGACATAGAAAAAAGTCTCGGCAGACAGAGCTTTTTTTTTAACTGGAATTTTAAATTATGAATACATTATCTTTCAAAGAGAGCTCTTAAACATGGTTAAAATCTACTGTATTTATATTCATTGGCTATTTTACTGAGTGTTCTTGATATACTAGGAGTTCTCAGCTGAGTTTACCATTGTTAAAATAAGCAAGTAATTGATGATTAAGGTGTTTGATTAAAGAGTAGCCAGAAAAAAGTAGATGGATGAGCAGAAGGATATCAGTTACAGGAACATATTTAAGTTGGTCAGGTGTTAAAGTATTATTGTAAAATTGACAGACTAGCCGAGTTATAAGAAGGACATGTTGGAAGATCTTGTGGTAGTTTTTGATTAGTAGATCTACCATTATACAGAGGAATGAGCAAACTAAAAGGCAATTGAATGAACAAAGAAACTTGCAGACACAGAATGGATACATAGACATACAGAATAAGCGACCCTTCTTGAACATTGAGTTGAAGTAAACACTGACAAGCAAACTGTCCTTGTGAGCTGTTGAAACTACAGTTCAAATTCCTAAAACCCTGGAAACAGGTTTTGTGTGTGTGTGTATGAAATCATTAATAGCATTTATTGAAAGTGTCAAACTGAATTTTCTAGTTTTTTTCAGTAGTGTTTTAACATGTTCACTAAAGTTTTCTATTTAGTTTTATGCATTAGAATAATTTACTACATTTTTGTGTTAGTATACTTGACTTAATATATGCAAGAGACCCTGTTCTAGTGTACCTGTTGCAGGATTTAAATTGTCAGAATTCATTTTAGCAACTTCATACTTAATATTTTGTACAGCCTTGTATGCTTCTTTATTTATTATTTTTATCAAATATTTGCCTTACAATTATAAGCACACTTCAACTTTCCCCCTTGTAGGACCAACCAGGTCACTCTGAAAGTTTAGGTTTACAGAGTTTATCCTTAAGGTCTCAAGGTCCTCAGAGAGCATCATCATTAGAAGGTGGCCACTACTCTGACACTACAGCTTCGGCTGGTGCAAGTGATGATGAAGGAAGTACTGCTGCCACTGATGGGTCCACTCTTAGGACTTCCCCTGCTGAACAGGTGAAATAACTTACTTTGAGTCTTGTTGTTTTTACAGCAGATAATTATCAGTTGTTGTTATGAAACTGAGTGTGCATATCCTTTAAGATTTCCACACACGTTATTACCATTTCAGTAACTTTAACCAATAGTTTGAGTAATGCTTTTTTTGATTTGACAATTTAAGAGGTTATTTTATTTGATATATGGTATTTCACTTTTCATTATAATATATATTAGGTCGTCAATAAATTAATGTCGCTTTATATATAGATGAAAAAACCCTGATAACTTGTATATTATAACAAAGTATTTATTAAATGAAATAGTCTCCATTCTTATCGATGATTCTTTTCCATCTTACAATCA